CATTCAAAATGTTTAAAACTACTACAAAAATTAATTTCGGGTGCAAATTAAAATATAGTTGTATCTGCAACTGTATTTGTTAATGTTTGGAACTTTTAAAATATTGCATGGTAAAAACAGAAGTTTCAATTCATATGTGACAAACTGGTGTTTTTTGATGAGTTACCTTCATTTTTGCTTCTACTTTTCATTTAAAATAAGTTTCCATTCTCAGCAGGTTTCTAAGGTTCTTCTTCTACATATTAAAAACGTTGTTAAACAACTGAGTGGCACACTACCGCTACTAGTGGTGAGAAAGTTGATTGCATTTTATTCAAAATCAATGCGGTCCCACGGTCTTCTGCGGCCCAAAGTTAAAAACTGTTGTTCTCTCGAGGCCTTCAAGGTGGCACTCGCGGCCCACAATTGGGCCACGGCCCATAGGTTAAGAATCTCTGCACTATACTATATGTCTCAAACAAATGCTTATTTTGTAATTGTACTAAACAAAATTTTGAACAATATCATGTTGAAATCAAAGTAACTTCTTCCTCGTGGTTGAAAGTGGGCCACTCTGTCACAAATACCAGAGTCACAGTCTGCCCCTGTCTAACTGTGCTGTTGTCCCACAGGTGGGATCACTCGTGACACCTTCCAGAAGGAACTGTGGTGCTACGACCCTGTTGCAGACTCGTGGGGTCGGCGGGCTGACATGATGGAGCTCCGTGGCCTGCACTGCATGTGCACGGTGGGAGACAGACTCTAYGTCATGGGCGGGAATCATTTCCGAGGTACCAGCGACTACGAYGATGTCCTGAGCTGCGAATACTACAGCCCGGACGCAGATCAGTGGACAGTGGTGGCGCCGATGCCCCGGGGCCAGAGCGATGTGGGCGTGACCGTTTTCAACGGGCAGATCTACGTGGTTGGAGGGTACTCCTGGAACAGCAGGTGCATGGTGGACATTGTCCAGAGATACGACCCGGAGGAAGACGTGTGGGACCGGGTGTTCAATGTGTTGGAGCCACTGGGTGGGATTCGTGCTTGCACAATGACCGTTCATCTGCCGGAGGGGTCCGTAGATGAGGCTCAGATACAGGACTGCCCGTTACCCACCGCTAAGAGCTGAAGGCCTGACACAGGGGGTTTCCAGTTCACGTTGTGGCGAAAAGAGTCTCAAACAGGAAGTAGTGTGGGTTGTAAACACAAGCCGCATGTGCAAATAATACCTGACTTTACTCTGCCATTCGAAACTTTTAAATCTATTTTACTGCTGTTTCCTGTCATTTCAAGTGCTCTCAGTTATTTAGCGTCCTTTGTGTTCTCATCTTTGCTTTTTTTGTCTGAATTTCAACCAAGATTTTCTAAATAAAAGCTTGAAGCTGTCATGAGTCTCACGTTCACATCGCTTCATTACAAACCATGAATTGCTGCACGGGTCTTTGTTTGGATACAAATAAAAGCTTCAGCATCAAAGTGACATGCTCAAAGTCAAACATGAAAGACAATTAAAAATCTATTATTTCTTAAAAGAATGTGTATTTATCACCACCTTTCATCTTTTGTTAGAAAATGATGAGGTTATAGCCGTTTAGGTTAGACTTTAAAAATAACTTAATGCACAGTTAGATACATTTCTGCAAAGTTTCATTCAGTCTGTGCGTAACTCAACAACTAGTAAAATGATCTGAGTTGCAGTCATGTTTTGTGTTGGATAAGGTTGATTAGCTGCACTGTATCCATCTTGACATGTGTTGACTCTGAATATGAATCAGTTATTTATATGCATCCAAAGATTACTTTCTGAAGGTTTCAATAAAATAAATCTGCAGTGGTTCACAAGATATTTTGGAAACAGACAGACACACAAAGAGGCACAGACAAAAACATTATCACCCATATTTTGTCTTTCGGCAAGAAGAGATAAAAATATAGCAGTAGGCCTAGAAGCTGTAATACGTTCAGATTTTATCTTTCAAACAGGCTGTGCAAGTGTGTGTGTGTGTGTGTGTGTGTGTGTGTGTGTGTGTGTGTGTGTGCGGGGGTGTTTCTGGTGACATTTGGGGGCAGTTTTAAGACAAAACACCTAGCTTTGGGGACAACTGGTGCATTTGGGGACAAAAGTCAAATCTTGGTCCTGTAATTAAAAACTGTGAATATTATAATGA